TGGACAGACAGGGTTTGGGATGGACAGACAGGGTTTGGGATGGACAGACAGGGGTTGGGATGGACAGACAGGGTTTGGGGGTTTGGGATGGACAGGGAGGGTTTGGGATGGACAGGGAGGGTTTGGGATGGACAGGGAGGGTTTGGGATGGACAGGCAGGGTTTGGGATGGACAGACAGGGTTTGGGATGGACAGACAGAGTTTGGGATGGACAGGGAGGGTTTGGGATGGACAGACAGGGTTTGGGATGGACAGGGAGGGTTTGGGATGGACAGGGAGGGTTTGGGATGGACAGACAGGGTTTGGGATGGACAGACAGGGTTTGGGATGGCCATGGTGTGTCCGGCATGGACAGAGCTGGGCAGTCCCAGCAGCAGCCACAGCGTGTTTTTAGGGCGGGAGGGGGTTTTGGGGGCAGGAGGAGGTTTCCTTCTCCCTCTCCTTCCACTTCTGCCTCTGCCTCTCCCTCCTGATCAAAGGGATTTTGTTCCTTTAACACACAATAAACCCCAACGAGCACAGATCCGGCTGGAAAACCTCCGGCACGGGCCGAGGCACCGTCTGTCCCATCCCTAATTCCCAGTGCTGTTCCCACAGCTTATTCCTCAGCCACACCAGAGTGTCCTGTCCCCGTGGATCTAATCCCAGGGAGGTTTTAGTCCTGCAGGAAGGGACGTGGCCCGTCTTGGCCTGGGAGTTCTGCGCGGATTATCCCTCCCACCCTCCTCGGCAAATCCCGGGATTTGCTCCTGCACGGGAGCCTGTGCTGGGAATGAGGCACAAAAGGTGATGGGAAGTTATTGGAACTGATGGAAAACCAGTGATGGGGTTTACAGGAACTGATATAAAAGCGGTGACGGGGATTTATTGGAATTGGTGCGAAGGCGCCGGAGGGAATTTATCGGATTTGACGTAAAAGTGGCAGTGGGAATTCATGGGAATTGGGGCAAAAGTGGAAGGGAATGCTCGGCCTTTGGAGCGTGGAAACTGGTAACTGGAAGGTGGAGAAGTTTTCCAGTCCAGCCCCATGGGAGCTTCCCCACCTGTGGCTTCTGGTTTTGAACTGGGATATACTGGTTGGAGCGGTTTGCTGAGGCACAAGGGCGCTTTTCCCACCTCTTTTCCTACATTTCCCCTCTTTTCCTGCGTCTCCCGCTTTCAGGAATGGCTTCCCACTGCCAGAGGGCAGGGTTAGGTGGGATATTGGGAAGAAATCCCTCCCTGTGAGGGCAGGGAGGCCCTGGAATGGATTTCCCAGAGGATGCCCCATCCCTGGAGGTGTCCAAGGCCGGGCTGGACGGGGCTTGGAGCCACCTGGGATAGTGGGAGGTGTGGAACGAGATGATCCTTAAACTCCCTTCCAGCCCAAAGCTCACCCCCGGGAAGAGTTTGGTGCTCACGAACAGGACGGGGCAGGTGCTTGGTCCCTGCTTCCCGGGTGGAATGAGCCCCCGTATCCCCCTTTTTGTCAGGCACAAAACCCTCCCAACCCCATTCCCTCCTGCCCCGGCTCTGTCTCCCTCTGCAGTGACCTGGAAAGGACGTGCAGGGGGATTAACGAGGCTCTAACGAGGCTCGAGGCTTTTCCTGCCCCGAGGTCCCGGCGCTGCCAGACTTTGCTGGGAGCGGTTTCACCGTCACCACTTCTGCCTAACGAGCCTCAAATCCTTCCCAAAGACTTTCCCTCCTCGCCGGGGTTAACCGGGATCAGCCGGAGCCTGGAGGCGATCGAGCGGGCAGGGATCACTCCGGGATGATCCTGTGGGAATGGGGCAGGCAGGGATCACTCCGGGATGATCCTGCAGGGATGGAGCGGGCAGGGATCACTCCGGGATGATCCTGTGGGGATGGGGCGGGCAGGGATCACTCTGGGATGATCCTGCAGGGATGGGGCGGGCAGGGATCACTCTGGGATGATCCTGTGGGGATGGAGCGGGCAGGGATCACTCTGGGATGATCCTGCAGGGATGGGGCGGGCAGGGATCACTCAGGATCATCCTGCGGGGATGGGGCGGGCAGGGATCACTGTGGGATGATCCTGCAGGGATGGAGCGGGCAGGGATCACTCAGGATCATCCTGCAGGGATGGGGCGGGCAGGGATCACTGTGGGATGATCCTGCAGGGATGGAGCGGGCAGGGATCACTCCGGGATGATCCTGCGGGGATGGGGCAGGCAGGGATCACTCCGGGATCACCCTCACCCCCCATCTCTGCTCTCCTGCTCTCACCTGTGGGTCTGGGCAGCCCCCTCCTGCCAGGGGACCCCTCAAGGGGGTCTGATGTCCCTGCTCGCTGCCTTTTGGATTTTAGGGTTTGGATCCAAGAGGAAATTCCTGCTGGATTTTCCCAGTGTGTCCTACTCTACCTGCCCAGCAGAGCCACTGGGCTGGTGCCGGTGCCAGTGGGGACAGAAGCAGCCTCAGCCAGAGGCTGGGAGGAGAGTATTCCCTAAAAAACAGGGGGTCAGAGCCAGGAGCAGGGAGCCAGGCACTGGGGAACTGGGAGCACCAGGGTCAGGGAGCCCCAGCACGGGAAACTGGGAGCACTGGGATGGGATACTGGGAGCCCCGGCTGCGACCAGCCCAGCTCCTAAATCCCTCTCCCGTCTCCGTTTGCTGCCTGGTTCTGCCAGAGGGGAGCCCCGGGCTCTTCCCACACTCTCACTTTCCCTGTGCCTCTGGTTTCCAGCTCCTTAATCAATCCCGTTTCTCCCCCTCGCGGGGCTTCCCTTCCGCCGTCCCTTTGCCTCTTTTTTTGGGATTTGGAAGCGGCTTCGGGCAGCAGCTCCTGGACGCGCTCAGGGGAGGCACCGTATTTTCCACAGCGGGTTTTGGACTCGCCGACGGGGCTCTGGTGTCTCTCCAGCTCCAGCCGGAGCTGCTTTTCTATCCCAGTCATCCCGTCTGTCCCAGCCATCCCGTCTGTCCGTCTGTCCCAGCCATCCCGTCTCCCCCTCGCTCACACCAGTGGTGCTGTTTAAAGTGGAACCGTCTCCGTGCCCCGGCACTCTCAGACCCCCCCCC